ATATATATATATATATTATTATTATTATTTTGGCATTCGCCTTGTTATCTGTTGTTAAATGTGCTACGTCGTTGTTGTTGTTGAGTCATGCTTGTATCAACAATAAAATATGTGTCATTTGAGTCGTGGTTTGAGTTAACTCCAGTATCATTTGGTAACAGTGCTAACCCAACCCTAGTCCTAGCCTAGGGTTCCCCAGTATCCGCCCCCACCAAAGCCACCCTAAAATTTTTTCCCTCTTCCTTTCTCTCATTTTCTTGTCTTCTTCTCCTTTCTCTTGTCTCTTTCATTCCATTGCCCCTTTCGAAGCAAACCCAACCATTCCATCACGTCGATACGTGTCAAACCCAACCCAAGAAGAAATACAATGAGAGATCCGTCGAATGCAACGACGACAAGATGACATTACCTTGAGTATGACCTCAAGAGTCGAAGAGGAGGCCACGATAATGATTTGAATCTGTTTCACTGTGAAGACGTCCGCAAAAAAGAATATCGACCGCGACGCTTAGGCATTCACTATCAAAGGGGAGCTTATATACATACCACATAATTCTTATGTATTTACATCACCAACACCTAAACTTTAACATTTACTTATAAAACACTTAAATGTCACAATCACTTCAAAAATTATACATAAAAATTGTACTTCACTTTAAAAAAGGCTTGATATCAGCGGCATTTGCCATGTGGAATAAATATTTAGACGCTATATAAGTATATATTATAGGGCTAGAAATATAGAAGGATTGCATGGTATGAATGTCACTCCCCAATTAATAAATTATCTTAAGAGAATAAACTAAATACATGTATGTTTAAATGTATCCTTGAATAAGATTTTGACTTGCAATCAATCAAGCTATAGCTTGATGGCTCGAGACAATTCTCAGTGGATTAGAACTCAACAAATGAAAGTGGATCATTGCCAAGAAATAATGCACCTTGAAGATGGCCGCACCCATTAAGGCACAAATGTATATTTCCTGTTTGGGAGTGTTCTCTTAACAGTTGGTGAGAAAATTATCTTAAATTTGCAAATTTTATGGGCTTGATAAGCCTAATACTTATGACTACCATCATGAAAATGATTTACAAACTTCATTGAGTTATTATATTCATCATTTAGTATAAAACCACCATACGAGACCAATAAAATAAGATATTATGGTCATATCAATGTAATGGATATTCCATGATATTGATTTGCATATATAATTATAGCATAGATGTTCATTATTACTTTGAGTTTTAAATAATATAATTGTCAACATATTGCTTAGGAATTCATTTGGAATTTTCTATTGTTGGTTTATTAAATATTTTACTACAAAAAATTTATTGGGTATGAAAAATTTAGCTAAGGCGATAATTAAAACAATAGTTTGAGCCACCTTAATTAAGCAATTTGTATGCCTAAATTCTTGTTTTTCATGAATTGGTAGATAAGAAATCCTTACAAATGTTGAAAATCCAGCCCAGCTAATAGGTAGATCTAATCAACTGCGAAGAATGATGGGCTAGGTCTTCTTAATTGCATTATCTTTACTTTTAGTTTTTAATTGCATTATCATTATTTATAGTTTTTTCTTTAATCATACATTTTGTGTTCGATCTTGTTTTATTCAACTCTTAGCATCCATATCTTATTGATTAATCCACATTTAAGTCCTATTAACAATTATATCATTATATATTTCGAATTCACTTGCTTTAGAGCAAGGGCTACCTCTAGTTAGCTTTTGGCATTATAATTATACCATAAATTTAAGGTTCTAACTCTTCATCATATCTTAAGTCATTTGGATGTGCAGTATTTAGGACCTAAAATGTGATATATTGCTAAAGTTCGAATTCACTAAATGATTACTCTCAATTATGTCCTTGGAATTTCAAACAATACCTTCAACTTGAGTAAAAGGATGAGAAAGTGAAGACATTATCACAAATTCACCATATGTCCAAAACCTCATTAATAGCTCATTTCATTGCCAATTTAGCTTATTTGAAAAATTAGTTTGCCAATTTGCTATTTCTTGATTAAATTAATAGCCCCACTTCAAGTTTTTTGAATGAGAGAAATTTTTCTCTTTCCATTTCCAATTCCCCTTTAATCTCTCTTTGCTTGCCTTATTTTACCCCTTAGAATGGTCTTCCAAGTTGTTTTTCAGGTAGACCAATTTTCCATTGTATTCGTATAACCTATAATTCTGCATTTTCGCTATGAAAGGAGGATGAAAATACATATAAGGAAGGGAATCATAAGTAATGCAAATGACTCTGATCAAAGTTAAAAAAAAAAGAAATTGAAAGAATTATCCTTCTTCTGTAAGCCTTGATCATATAAGCTCTAGGGCATTAACAATATATTGGTCTTCCACTCAAGAATGAGTATAGGAACATTCAAATATGAGCAGATAGAAGTCATAAATCTCCACGCTAAGCAATGTCTCCTAAAACATTATACAGCAACAGCAGCACATAAAACTTACAATAATTCTTCCTTTGCATACAATGTTATTCCATGAACAAAAACTATTTGATTCCACGTCCAAACTACAAGGTGATTTCTAGTAATTTTGACAGCAAATTAAAAGCATCAATCATGACATCAGACTTGCACCAGTGCGGTGTTTAGACAAAATCACGTAACCACTGCCTTGTAAAGACCATTTTTTGAACCGCGTACTTGTCGACATCAATGAATTGGTATGGTTTTACCAATGGAACAACTTATTAACTCCATCATATGTGGTCAAAAAACTACATTGATTTTAAAGGAAGTAAAAGAAATGGCATAGAAAATTTGTCAGAGCCACTGAAAAAGACAATTCGAGCAGGTATCCAGACAACACTCATCCCACTTCGCCGTTTCGCGCATGAGCTCGAACTTGAAGTAAATAATGCATTCTTTGCTAAAGATATATGATCCCCATAAAAAACCTATAGCATCTAAAACCCGGCCCTCGTGTTTATCTTCTTTTAAAAATCTTTTAACAATTGCAACCACCCACTGACATAAATGCTTTCAAAAATCCAAAACACGGAATCAAAATGAAGCTAGCGAACGACAGAAACGCAAATCGATACGTGTTGTGGTACCTTCCCGAATACGATGTCATCGGAGGTGGGAGAGCGGAGATGGCCTTGAACAGCGTGGATGACCGCACCACCACGAAATACATACTTTGCCAGGTACTGCGCGCCGCGCTTCTGCGTCGAAAGGTGATGGCTACCGCCGCCGGAATCCTTTTCTCCGGCGGCCATAATTCCCTGTGGCACAGTCTCCGGCTCCTGCGATGAAACTCGAGCCCAGATGATGCGATTTGGTCGAGGAGGGGTGAGATGGGCGTGGACGGAAAGGGGGATCGATTTATTATTTTTTTATGAAGAGTAGGTTATCGATTTATTATGATAATAATTATAATAGAGATATTTGATTTTATAAGTAAAAAATTAATAAAAATACTCCTTATTTTTAGATAAAATTATTATAATAATTTGAAAACAATTATAATTATGAAGTTTTCAAAAAATATTATTTTATTTTGTGTACTAGAGCATATGTCCGAAACAGAAGCACATCTCATGCTATGCATTTTTCTTTATTAGAGAGCACTTTTTTTCATAAGAATTTTATCAACAAAAGCTTGAATCAAGCTTTTTATAGCTAATTATTTATCAACTGCCCCAAAAGCTATTGCATAATTATAATAGATGGATATGTTAACTTTATCCATCTGAAATAATACTCATATGGGGCAGTTACAGACACCCGAGACTTTGCTATTTACAAAACAACCCTTTTCATCAATTTTTCAAATTCACTTAAATATGGTAAAACCAAAAACCATAATTTTCATTTTTCTCAATAGTTAGAATACGGCATGCAAAAACATCGGTTCTGTAGTTCAAAAAATTATCTGGGTGCGGGTGCTTAATTAGTAATTATCAATGTTCCAGGTGTTCTGTATGTAATCATCCCTACCAAAATTGTCCCAATAAATGCATCAGAAAGTAAATACATAAACTCTTCAAATCTTGCATCAACAAGGTATTCATGTATCAAGTACAAAGTTACAATCATGATCATATTGGTGAGCCCTTTGATTAAAGAAAAATTATTCCGGCTTACAACAAATTGTAGAAGAGCCAACATAAAGACAAACAGTTAGAAGACATGAAATATCATATTAGCTTTGGCTATATTAAAGGAAAAATGAGATATTCTGCATAGAAGAGGTTCCAAATAAATCGATAGAATTGCAGTATGGCTTCCTGCAAAATTTTGAAAAGAATGTTACAGTTACAGAAATTATCTGAAAATTTTGTTGCTTACAAGAGATCCCAATTATTAAACAGTGAAAAGTTACAACAAGAGAATGTAAAACTTAAGCCAAAAGTCCTAGATAACGAATTTGATGTTTATGTTCAAAGGATAAATACCATGCTGACTTTTAGTTGCATGTTATTCTAGCTTCATGTTTCTGTCATAAACATATTAATTCCCCAATTTAATCAATATGTGCCAATTTTATGCTGCACTAAAAGTATTTAGATGGAATGGGTACAAAAAAGAAATTTTCTAAATCTGGGATGTCAAGCAAAAAAGATGCTAGAAATCACTATATACAACAAGCTTGCGAATATTGGAACGGATGCTGAGCCAATAGGGGTTTAAATAAGACGACTTAATGAATTTCTAAATGTTTGTCAAAATACAAGCTCGAGCGCAAGTAGAGCTCAAGCTTGGCTCATGGCAGTAGTAGGCTCGCAAGCTGGAATGAAATCGCCATAGAAGCTCACCGGATAAAACATATAAGTGATCGATGGCGGGAGAGAAGAAATGCTGCAGCAGCTCACCGGAGAAGGCAATTACATGACAAGAATCCGGCTGGTCAAACCGACTTGCGAGCCAACAAGTCGAGCCTCGATGAGCAAGTTTAAGTTTGAGCTCTAGCTCAAGCTCGTGGGTCAATAACCTCGACTCAAGAGCTCTTTAACGAGCCGAGCTCAAGCTGACTCAAGAGTTGGCTCATCCCACTTACGCCCCTACTCTAGCACGATAGATTGATCATTCTCAGTTACATGTCAAATAAAAATGCATTTCATGTACTCCAACATTTTTAGTTTCCATAAATGTCACCTATTGTACAAATATAGAGCAATAATGATATTCTGGAAATAGTGGAGCTCAAGGACTTCAGTTATAGTCACAGCATGGCACTGATTCAAAAATAATTACGATAAATAAGAATACCATACTGCTGCCATTTTATAGTGTAGATCCTGCAGATTTAGGACCCCGTTGGGGATAATTTTGGTTTTTTTTTATTTATTTAGTTTGTTGATATTTTGATTTGAAATAAAATATGTTTGATTATTTAATTAAAGTATGATAATTCATAAAACTACTTGAAATATTTAAGAAGTTATTTTGAGTGTTTTCAAAAGCATGTTAATTGTTATTAGAATAAATAAATAAAAACAAGTAAAAAATACACTACTTAAATTCAGCTGCTTTTAGGTACTCCGGTGCATCATGCAGTTCCTAAGCACTTGAAATCAGATCTAATAAACATCTTGGAATTGTATCCTATGAGGATTAAATGTTTACCTTGGTATACTTTGCTTGTTCCAGAACACATGCCTGAACCAAAATCAATAGATTAGAAATATGATATATATACATAATATAAGAGAAATTTACAGACATAGTACATGATTTTTATCTATTTACATATTTAACACCAAAAGTTTAATATTTACGTTTATAATGCTCTGGTGCCATTAAAGTTGTATTAAACTTTTAAAAACTTAGTAAAAATGGTATTTTTAGCATTGTTATAGATTTGAGTGCTATGCATGTAACTTTGAAAGTTTGGGTGTTAAGACATGTATATCTCTAAGAATTGTGTGATATGTAAAATTCCCACAGCTCTCTTAGAGATTGAAAAGTTGATTTGCATGTTTCTCGTTAAAATGAAAATTGTAATTTCAGTGTTTTTATAAAAGCACTGTTTAAAAGTATTCTCAAACAAGCAATCACTCTATATGCGCGAGAAATAATAAAAACGGCAGCTAAGTAAATTCTTCACAAATTTCACCAAGTAATTACAAGTGAAAAAGCCATAAAATGTTAGAGAAAAAATAACCTGGAAAATCAAGCCTAATGCGAACATGCCATGCGCAGATATCATTATACTGCATCTAAAAGCCTGCGGAAAAAAGAAAAAAATATCAAACATACCAAGAATAGTATCCAAAATACAAGCAATAAATAAACTCTTAACAATATTCTTTGACAGAAGCATATTTCAATAATTGATTGGGCCTTCCCTAAGAAGAAAGGGGAAAAAAACTTGCGAAAGAAATGAGGCACAATTAAAGATTCTTGAAAGGGGGCAATACACACATATCACCCAAATCCTACGTATTTACATATCTAACACCTAAACTTTAATTTTTGCTTTTATATCACCCAAATCTTTTCATATCACGTTGAAAGCACCACCATTTTTAATTTTAAAAAGTGAAATGCAAAGGTAAGGTGGCATATATGTAAATTTTTCTTGTTGAAATTAATCCCTTGAATTTAACGAGTAGGGAGAGAACGAGAAATCAGAACACCAAACTAATCAGCAAAAATTGTTTGAATCACCTCAGGTATATAAAGTGCTACGAAAATAGCAGTTACATAGTTCACTAGCAATAGCCCGACACCAATCAGCGCTATATTCCTGACGCCAAGCTTAGTCGCGAAAGTTGATATCTGAAACCTGCACTTACAAAATTAGAATTCTTATATTTTATTATTTTGCAGCATTTAGGGGCTGTCTGATAACAAATGTGATTTAAGTTTTTAGGATTTAGTAAATTCTGTAAAATTGGATTTATTAAATCCTGTATGTAAAACCGTATGACAACAAAATTTCCTAAATCCCGCTATCCATCAAACTATTTGGAAACTTCAGCGTAAATCCACCTCGATCCCTTTCGGGAATTAGGGGCATTTAAGGTTTGTTTGGCAACAGATGCGATTTAAGTTATTAGGATTTAGTAAATCCTGAAAATTCGGATTTACTAAACCCTGGATGGAAAATCGTATGGCAACAAAATTTCCTAAATCCCACGAATCAATCAAACTATTTGGAAACTCAGCGTAAATCCACTCAATCCCCTGTAAAATTTAGGATTTACAGGATTTACGGTCAAAATCTATGAAATCGGGATTTATCAAATCCGTGCTTTCATTCCGTCAAAAATGACCGTCTGGCAAGATTTAGCTTAAATCCCGCTCTAAATCCGTAGCCAATCAGCCCCTTACATACATACCAACCAATTCTTATGTATTTACATATCTAACAACAAAATTTTACTTTTTACATTTATACCACCCAAATTTTTCATAATACATAAAAAATACCTCCATTTTAACTATCAAACCACATTTGCGCAACTGATTTTGTTGTCAGCCAATTTCTTTGCTTTGATTAAATGAGCAACATTTTGTTGTTGGGGGAAGGGGTCGGTTTGTTCTAGGTGGTTCTGATAACTATCAAAACATCTCAAATTCATCTTGTTCAATCCTACATCCATATGCGCCTCTGACTTCTCATTCAACTGTTTTGTTTTGCAGCTTGTATCGAGGTCCACAGGTTTTAATAAGCTTTAACACAGGTTTTAATAAGCAGGCCCGAAACAGATGGAATAATGCCACAGATGATGAAAATATAGCTTGAAATTCAGAATTTAGTACATAGATTTGAAGGGATTCGTTCATCACATTTCTGGAGGATTGAAAGACTTAAAAATCCATCCAGATAACAAGTCAGCAAAAAAAAAACTTACTTACGGTCTCCTTCGACATCAGGGAGATCTTTGGTTATGGCAATGACCAATGCAAATAATGTCACAAATGCTGTGATGAACGCAACAGGAGAGCTGCAGTAAAAAAACGTTACAGAGCATTAGCAATTGTCTCTCCATGAATCTGCAAAAGACATGTATAAAAAATTTTAGGGGCATTTACATGCATAGCACACAATTCTTTTGTATTTACATTTCTCACACCTAAACTTTCATATTTGCACATTAACACTCAATCTTGAATATCACATCAAAATAGCACTATTATTACATTTTAAAAGTGATAATACATATTTTAATGCATAGGTTTAAGGCACCAACGAATGTAAATATCCCAAAATTTTACTCCAACATCTCTATTTTATCTTGCGGAAGTAAGAAAAGTAATTCTTACCTCCAATTAAAGGAAAGGCCCAACGCTGCTCTAGTAGCATAGTAAACACCAAAATTGAGAAGAAAACCACGTACCTAATTTAACAAGATTTGCAAAGCAACAATGATTTCTTTTGTCACCTCAAGAAAACAGAATATAATAAGTAAAAGAACTAATGTTGATACAAGAGTGAACCTAAATCACAATATGAAAACAAATACTATTACTGAAAAATTAACAGGCGATTACAACCAATGCTCTGAAAGAAAAAATAGCAACAAACATGGCACACACTAGGGTTTGATCCAAGGTAATTGTGGCGAGCTAGTTTGGAAGGGGCAGTGGCGGGAATAATGGTATGGATAGGAGTGTCAAAACCTGACCCGACACAGCAACACAACTCAAACTCGACAAGAAAAATTTGGGTTAGAGTTGACCCGAATACTTTTCGAGTCGGGTTCGGGCCTGAGAATTTGACAAACAAAAATTTTGGGTCAGGTTTTGATGGAACCCGAAAACCCAAATATGACCAGAATAAATATGAAAAAATTGGTTGTATTCTTAACCCTTATACTATTGATTGTCATATAAATAAAGAATTTTTTAATTTGCCTATTGTTACTTGGTAATTAGAAGTATAATGTTTTAATTAAAAATTGAGCAGACATGTTAAATGGGTCGGGTTCGATTTAATCATGTCTGGGTCAAGTCGGTATCGGGTTGAGTTTTTTGACCCGTGTATTATTCGAGCCAGGTTCGAATTGATCTGATTCGGGTCAGGTCACTTTTGGGTCGGGCCCGAATCCGACCAAATGACTCGAATTGGCATCCCTAGGTATTGGTGTTGGGATGAAGTATAATAGCAGTTGGAGCGATTTTCTGGAAGTGGCAACGAGTAGGGAGCAATTGGACAGCAGGAAAGTAATAGGATTGTTGTTTTAAGATGGCAGTGATTAGGAGTGGGAATTGAGAGATATGAGGAAGGTTGGGGATGGGTGGAGGTTGAAAGAAACAACACAAGTGGTGTTTGCCGGCTGATTTTGTAGGAGAACAACATCGAGACACTGTTGTACATGGCTATAGCTTAGGGTATCAAAAATTGATTTGAAACGCCAACACGACTCGAACTTGATTCGAAAAATACGGGTTAGGGTTGAGCTGAATATTATTCGAGTCGAGTTCAAGTTAGAAAATTAGACCTGTTTATTATTTGGGTCGAGTTCGGGTTGAACTCGAAAGCCAAATATTACCCAAATAAGCACGAAAGTGCGAGTAAAGCTCGAGTTCGGGTCTTATTTCAAAAAATTTTTAAGCCGGGCCCGAATCCGAGGTCCGACCCTACCCACTAACCCAAATTGACACCCGTAGCTGCAACAATGAGGGAAAATGGGGGAAGCGGTTGGGCAGTAGAAACTTTAGAAAACAGCAAAAGGAACCTGTTCCAGGCGGCTGCAACAAGAAAGGGGTGGCCAAGGGTGATGGGCGAATGTAGAGCAAGAAAAGTCGGAGATAAATACCACCTCGGGAGCGAGATACAACCAAACACCACTCGACCCATGGAAGTTAATCACCGCCTTGGAACGAAATACAATCGGAGCACCATCTGCCCTTTGATAGAAGCCTAGAAAAGAAAAACAGGGGACACCAACGACTATCCTAAAAAAACAAAATAAAAAATTGCAACCTAAACACAACAAAAGTACATAAATAGTACTAGGGTAAATAGGAGTGGGTCCCCTCTCACAAGAATGCAATAAACCCACTTAAGAAAGGTTGGATGACCCTCAATTCATTGTTTCGAACAGGCCCCCAGGTCGCTAGGTTTCCCCGTCCAGTCCAGCTCGTGGGATCATGGGAAGGCGTCCTTGTAAGCGATAGTATTTTTAGAAAAATTGTGACAAGTCAAAAATCATATGAAAGCCGAGTTAATTACTAAAAGCTTCAAGGCATTTATGCAATAAATTACTCTGCAAGGTAGAACGTTGCTGTCAGTTTTAATAAGAGATTACTTTGCACTTGTACTTCGTGATTAATAAAAAAGGTGTGGATTGTTGGTAATTTGAAATATATATCGCCATGACATAAATGAAAATATGATTGAACAAACTTGAGCCTTATTTGTAGAGTTCATAAAAAATGGATATTGGACTGACACAGCAAGGAAAATTACTTTTCTCCCATATCTTATTCACATTATTAATTTGTTCTCTTCTCTTCAACCATTAAGCTTAATAAACCAAAAAATGTGCAATAGAAAAAATGTTAAAAACGGACATTGTAAATAGTATATGTTTATTTTGTGCTATTACAAACATAATTTTTCATGTTCATTGAATTTGTACAATTGTCAAAATATTGTTGCTGTCACGAAGCTTGTCAACTGAAAATAGGAATAAATAAGCAAATATCTCACACTGAAACACATAATCCAAGGCAAAGTTTATGTGATGTTATATACAATGAATTTAAGCATTATCATTTATGAATTATGGACTGAATATAATGACATGGACTTCTGCTTATTTCTAACCTTTCCAACTTATATTGCTTTAATTTAGAAACAGATATATAGTAGTTATACATTAACAAGAATACCATAATTACATAAAAAAAACGTTCTATACAAGATGTTTGTGTTTTTAAAATTATTGAATGACACGCTAAATTGCTCCTTATTTAGCATTCCTTGTTTTTTTCATCTTTTGATACTTTTCTTTTTGCCTATGAGGATGCAAAATGGCATAGAAACTAAACTTTTAAAAAGTCAATATCAAAAGTGGAATTGTTGTGTTTAGCTGTCCAGTGGACGTTACAATGGCATATAATAGAATTTATTTCTAAGTTCCAAATAATTAGTAGGGAAAAACATGCACTCCTTGAAGTAGAGTTCAAATCTGAAATAATTAGCTAGTGTTAAAAATTAAAATATTCTTCTTCTAATCATACCGGTAAGCATTAATCATAACAAATATTACAATAATTCATGTTCATTCACGCACGAGCCTTAGAAAATCATTAGCTTGCTCATGGATACAGAATAAAGTAAGACTTTATAGCATGACATTACAAAAGAGCCTTATTACTTCAAAATTTCAAATTGTCATGGTGTTTATCGTACTTCAAGCAGAATGTCATAATGTTATCCCAGGCCGAATGTCTAAATGTTGCAAACCATCCACATTATTTTTCTCAAAAACATTATTACAACTTCATTTAAAACATCTAACATTCATAAAACCAACATAGTTGGTCAAAGGAGAAAGAATAAGAATGCATTGATGAAGACTGTGAATGCTCTCATGATAACTTCATATTTTATTTTCTTATGGGTTGTTTGAGATAACTTTTTTCTTATTTTTTGTTTTCCATTTTTATTTTGTTTTTTTTTTATGTGATGATTTTAAATAAAATATGTTTGGTTACAACGGGTGTTTTTAAAAATACATTTTTTTAGTGTTTTTAAAACAACGTTGATTTATTTTTAAAAGCAGAAAACAAATTATGTCAAAAAATATACTAAAACATGGTTTTTTTTTAAAAAAAGAAGTCAACTATTTTTAATTTTCTCGATCAAGTTAGTTTGGAATACTAAGCTCGTTATACAATATCTCCCCCAGATTCTTAGTATGAGTTGTTTTAACAAAAAAAATTGGACAATATGTAATCTCAAAACATACCGTGGCTATGATGAGAAATGCTGCAACAGGATACCGCTTCAGTCTAAAAGGAGGAACAGAATAGATAGTGCCAAGGAAAAGACCTAGAAGATATAGAGAAGAAATGAACGAACCAAAGTTGAATACAACAATAAGTATGCCGGCCGAAGCAAAAAACAAGACCAAAAGCCAAGCAGACTGCACTGAAAGATCTCCGGCAGCTATCGGCAAATATGGCTTGTTAACCCTGCAAAACTTGAAGAATCGGGTTAAATGTTTTCACCAAACTGCCGAAAATGTGAAAAAAGATTTTGCAAAAGGAGATAAGAGCTACGATAAAGTATTCATAGAAATTATAAAGGTAAAGATAATACTGTATAATGCATCATGGCAAGCATACTTGTCGATTCCAATGTCATAAATCTGATTAATCCCCACAATGTAAGCATTGCCACAAATAAGAGCTATAAGCCCATATAATGCCTTGAATATCAACCACCAATCTATTAGAGCAGGGTTCTCTATTAAAGCTCTTACAACCAAAGCTCTGCCAAAGAAAAAAAAATGTTAGGAGATAATATGAATGATTCTATGAAAGATTATCTTTCAAAAAGTGTGCATGGGGTACGAGGTTCAAAGCAAAGCGGAAGCTTGATTTATGTAGTTGTCCAGCATTGCAAGGAGGCTATTTTAAAGGAGGAAGATTTGTATACATACCACTCCATTCCTATGTATTTACATATCCAACACCTAAAATTCAGTTTTTACTTATATGGCATCATAGCTATGCATGAAAAGGCGTGTTCCACTATTTAAAAGTTAAAATAGTGATATTTTTTATGTGATATGAAAGATTTGGGTGGTAGAAATGTAAAAAAGCAAACTTTAGGTGTTAGATATGATATGAAATGGATAGAAAATGTGTGGTATCTATGTAAATGAGCCTGGAAAGGATTAAAACTCAGAATCTTAAAAAAAACAATATAGAGTGGCCATTGCTTTCATGCCACCCTCATAAAATATTATTGAAAAATGAATATGGAATACATTTCATCAAGGATTTGAATCACTAACACGGATCCCAAAGCTGTCCCGCGAATAGTGTGTGGCCTTAAAAATCTCCAACATGAATCTTGGAAATCAGATAAATTCTTTAACAAAGGATTGGATCCAGCAGCACCAACTTGGGAACAAGCCTGCATACATCTAAGGCTAATAAACTTCTTTCTAGATTTCAATTTTAATGAAGAGGCATAAATTACAATTTAAAGCATGAATGCAAACATCCGAACTTCCAATTTAATAATGGTCATAAAAAGCTTCCATAAGCCACGATTCAAAGAACACTTTGCCTGTTTTTTAATAACTTGGGCAATTAATAAGTAACAAATCCAGTAAAGCTAATAAAAAGATATATATCTCATCTGTATATTTGGATTTTTACATCTTAAATACAACAACAAAGCCCTAATCCCACTATCTGGGGTCGGCTACATGAATCCTTTTTCTCCATTGTGTCATATTTAATGTCATATTTTCATTTAGGTCTAATAAAAAGATATATATCTCATATGTATATTTGGATTTTTACATCTTAAATACAGCAACAACAACAACAACAAAGCCCTAATCCCACTATGTGGGGTCGGCTACATGAATCCTTTTTCTCCTTTGGGTTCTATTTAATGTCATATTTTCATTTAGTTCTAATAAATTAAGATCATTTTTTATACAATAAGCCCAAGTCTTCCTAGGCCTACCTCTGTCTTTCATAACATAAGTCGATTCTAAAACATCTACTCTCCTAATTGGATCATCAGATGGTCGACGCTTAATGTGACCAAACCATCTAAGATGACTTTCTCTAATTTTACATCTTAAATGAGAGATAAAAATAGCAAAAGCTTTTTTTCATATACTTCTACCTTAAAAAGTAATTTTTGCATTAGCTATCAATGTTTGTAAACAATGTCGAAGAGTGGGAGCTGGAAAGCACAACAATCAACATGCCATTAATAAAATGGGATATCCGCATGCAAAAAAAAAAAAAGGAAGATTTACGCACATACCACTCAATTCCTGTGTATTTACATATCTATGACCCAAAGTTCAATTTTTTACATATATGCCACCTTACCTGTGCATGAAAAGTTGTGTTTAGCTATTTAAAAGTTAAAATGGTGGTATTTTTTAAGTGATAATATTTGGGTGGTATAAATGTAAAAAAGTTAAGTTTAGATGTTAGATATGTCCCTAAAAAAAATTGCACTTCGCAGAATCAAGTAGGTAGAAGAGACAAAGCAAGGCAATAGAGGGAATGCAGCATGTGCTTCATAAAGCAGAAGGTGCATGCCTCAAAAATCAAGCATTCCAAATTAGCATGACAAAATGACATTGTGCGCAATATTAGTGCCTTAATGAGCAAATGTGACAATAAGTGTACTTCCTACAAAAAATATAATATAAAATATTCATTATAATATCCATCACAAAACAGTTTAAAAATATTTAATCAAGGAAAAGACCCGAGAGAGAATGGTTTCCAGGTTCATGTCATGACAACAAGCAAAAAAATATGCGACAATATGAGTAAGAGCCACATGTATCTCTTGGGCAATTAGTTTTTAACAGAAAGGCCTCAAAAGTAGATACTCGTTATCCCATATGGTCCTAACACCATCTAACAAAGCTCCCATCTTCATTTATTCCAGGTTGCAGGCATGGCCACTCCACGCTAACAAGTAGTCAAGCTTGTTAATCTCCTTCAAATAGCTTCTTAGCGCACCAACATCTCTTTTGAGGCTCTCATCAAGTGACATAATGATTACAAATATTATGTGATCAAGGGAGATTGTTCCAAGCCATCTGATGAGTGTTCTGAGCTTTTTGATAGAAATAGCCAAAATGTATCTCTACAGATGTATAATAGACCCTATTTCTTCCAGTTTGCAGGCATGGCCACTCCAATTGCCTGTTTTTGGCTCATTTGAAATTGGATTTGTTCACTTTTAATGTCTTTGAGTTTGTCTGGTTGAGAAATTAAGTTTGTGTGGGCTTAATCTAAGTTCATATAATCATGAATTTAGTTGCCAACATTTTCGAATTCAATAATTGAATCGAGATTCCTGCATGATTTGATGTACTTTTTTGCATTTTATCAATACATCTGATATACTCTTTCAGTTTGAAATGAATGTATTTTTATTCTTAATATAAAATATAAAAATTTTTAGGTTTTCTATAAATTCATAAATGTGTTTACTATATGGGTATCATATGTAAATTTGCCAAGTAATCTCTGAACAAAATAATACCTCATAAAAAAATAACTTAACTTTGGTTCATCATTTCTCCCCCATTTCACAACTAAGAAAAAGAACTCGTGATTTAGGGCATTTGCATGATTAAAAATTCACAACAACAAGGTGAGAGTAATTAACGGCTTAGCTTTATACAAAGTTCTAGTAAACAAACAAATAAAAGAAGATTATAAATGGCGCCAAATTTTTTATATGAAAAACCCTAAAAGGATAAAAAATCTTGGAATCTAAACAAACTAAATAACTCCACTGGCGTATGCCATATGCTGTAAATTCTGCCCTTCCCGAAATTGAGAAAGGCGTTGATCATTGTAGAAGGCGTGATTGTGGGAAGATGAATCTATGGTGGAAGTTGGAGGAGCCATATAATATTAGTAATATCTTCATGAGATCGGTAATGATTTTTTAGGTCAGTTTACTTTGAGGGGAAGAGAGCATGGACCATGATGTCTAGTATAATCTTGGTATGGAAGTTGATCTTTGAGTTGGTGTTGATAGGCTATAATTTTGACAATGTGCCTCAACGTTATGACTGATACATTGCTATGAAGTCAACAAGCATCAGCCTTGTTGTCGATGAGCATCAATTTTAAGCAATGATAGCTAGACAAGGATAGCTAAGAGATCATAATTGAGCAAAGTTAGTTAGATTACAATAATATGATGATAGAGATCAGGTGATAACAATTGTTGATGATTTTCATCGACATCAATCATTGGGTAGAGATCTCCCTAACATTGCTCCATCTTTAACTTTGAGCTTTTCATTTTTTATATATAAAATGGAATTTTATTTATAATTTTTTAGTATTTTTTTATTATTTTGTTCAATTTTAATTGATATTTTTTTAGGATTTAAATGCTTTAATGATTTCAAAGTCGAATGAGCTTTTAGCTCATTAAATTTTTCTTGTCGAGATGTTGGATTTAAATGAAATAATTAAAAATAGTTTGACCCATCAATTTATAACACGAAGGTTCAAACATGATTATAGTGCTTCATTTGGGCTCCTTCGAGCTCAAATCGGACCACCTTTCGTATCAATGGGTTTATCTCACTTAGATGTAATAAATTTGCTGAAAATTAAAATTTTGATGTTCTTGAATTTAATTTTAAGGGAGTGTTTGGCGGCGCCTTTTCATAAGGTTTATCAACAAATTTATTACAGACAACCAAACTCTAAAATGCAAAAGTTATGTCGATTCATGAATTTTCAGATTTAGGAGCTATCAAGCATTGGATTTAATCCATAATTTACAGATGATTTAAGCGGAATCCTTCCAAGCAGTCATTTTGAACAAAATAAATCCACATATGATGTAAATCTGGATTCCACAGATTTTGGTTGTAAATCCCGTAATTCCTAAATCCCATGAACCAGCGGATTTAACTTAGTGGGGCTTGGGATTCAACTTCGTAGGCTTCGGACTGTCTCAAACAACGATAACGATTTCTTAAATCCTTGTAGAAACTGTCAAATAGTTCTATTGGATTCACAGGATTTAATAAATTCGTTGTCGATTTAACCCATTCAGTATTTAGTAAATCCGGATTGACGAGATTTAGTAAACCTTAATGCCTTAAATCTCATCCGTTGCTAGAAAGCACCTAAGGGTCTCAAATTTTGCCTTCTATTCGGCTTAGCTCCTAATTTATCAAATCCAGCGGTAAGATGAATTTAACTGATTTTGGATTTGAGGAACGCTAAGTCCTACTTGCACTCAAACACTCCCTAAGAGCTTCCTACTCAAAAAACTGACATCAGTGACTAGTTTGATGAATCTGTGGCATCAATAAACATCCAAACGAAAGGAAAAAAATGTCAAGTCTAAAAAAAGCACAAGCACATCTGAGAATATCAAAATTTTGTAAAACTGATTTCTTCACTTTTTTCAGTTAAAAATGCAGCGTACCCAAAATCCCACACAAGCCGCCCTTCTGCGCTCTGAAACTGAAGTTCGAGCTCCGCATCTAGAAGCAATAAGTGGAGATGAAATCCGCAGAGAAGAAACCGGAGATAGGCAGCAGGTTGAGAACTTGAATTCGATTCGAAGGCTCGAGGCATTTAGAGTATGCGGGGTAAAAGAACTGGCAGAGGAAATGGCAGCTGAAAAAGCCATCCGACGACGAAGATCTAGAAGAACAAATCGGATGTGTAAGTCGAAATGTCCGCGCAAACCCTAACGGCTTGTTGCGCTCGCTAATCGGAGAGATAAGCAGCCGACTAGCAGCTCTCGGCGTTGCATGGTTGTGGGCGGGATAGTCTTAGAACTTAACTCCAATCTTGATTTGACACTAGATCCCAATTTATTTTTTTATTAAATTCATTAATGTTTGAGATTTCTAACCCTACATGCACCTGTCAGGATTTCTGACGTAAATAACCATTCAGAATTTAATGAAATCACGTTACGTGGCGGTGACAAAAAAAAATCAAAATCAGTCTGGTAATACGGGAGTACTCTCCGGTGTTATTTCGTAGGTGTTATTACATGTTATTCAAGTGTTATTGTGTTTTAGGAATATTTCTGGTGTTATAATAACAAAATAATACATCAATAACACCTGAATAATACACAATAACATCTGAATAACACGGGAGAAATATTCTCTTATATTATTGAGCAGTTTTATTTTTTTTTCGCCGTCACATGGTGTGATTTCATTGGACTCCGAATATTTCTTTACGTTAGGAGTCCCGACAGAATAATTTTTCACATACGCCGCATGGCCCAATGCAGAGTTTTTGCACATTTCAATTTCCATTTTTCGGAAGCTTTCGCCGCTTACTTATTTTCAAATTTAATCATGAATTTAATTTAAATTTAGTCAAACATCAAAAAAAAAAAAAAATAATCTAAATAATCTAACACTCCGTTAAATTAAATTAAATTTCTTCATGTTTTGTCATACGTTTGACGTAAACACAGATCTAGTAAATCTGATCGCGAGAAAGATTTATCCCATTGCCGCACGAGCTCCTTTCATCGTTTGTGTGATCTGGATTTATCGAATTACAGAAATCTTATTAAACGTAAATATGTTCTAAAACCAAACACTGTCATAGCATTTCGATATTTTTTAGGTGATCTTTATCATTGTCCCTTTACATTGATTTTATTTTAGAGTTTATGGTGTATTTCATTTCTTTGGCATATCACCAGTATTTAATATTTTTTTTTCATTATAATATAGTTGTATTTAATTATTTATTTCGGGACATTCATGTTCTAGTGCACATTTTATCATGAAATTAAGTTTTTTGTCATAATTTATGGCTTGAGCATGCTATTATATGGTCAGAAATACATGTCTTCGATATTCATTATAAAATGAATTGAGATTATTTTCATATTGTATTCACCACAACAAAGATGCATTTCTTTATCTCTTAAGCACAATTATGTTGTAGTACGCATTTTGTCATGTGATGAATTTTATTATTATAATTTATTACTTAATTTTGTTATTATATGGTTAGAAATTCATGTATCAGATATTTATTGTATTTTTTTTTTATTTAAATATTTGTTTTTATTCAACACAACCATTATTTTACCATTTCTTTATTGAATACAACAATATTTTAGGCAGTGTATCTAGTCCAAATGCTTAATTTGACCTATAAAGAAGGCGTTGGATGATTGTTAATCCAAATTGTCCAGCAAAAGAGGACTGCCAGATCGGGATCAGCTTATGTGGCGAGATCTCTTGGTTTGGACTTCCTGTCTGATCCACTCTCTCAACGAGATTTATATTTCTTCCTGTTGATGGTGGGGCGAGCTCAACAACTCAACAACAGACCAATTGGTCAAAGAGCAATTGGTCTGGCTCTAGTCCTGAGGTTCTAATCTTTTATTTTAATGGACTTTTTCCATATTTTCTTGAGCCCAGCATAATTGTATTTCATTATTTCATTTAGTACAACAATATTGTTGTGCATATTTTATCATGTGATTAAGCTTTTTATCATGATTTATCACTTGATCTTGTTATTATATTGTTAGAAATATACAAATCAGATATTAATTGCATTTTTTTATATTTTAGCATAAAATTTTCTTCAATATAACCACTATTTCACCATTTACTTCTTCAATATAACATCATTTTAGGCATTAGGCTCAGCCCTCGTATTCTAATATTGTATTTAATATATTTTTTTTGGTCTTCATTATAACTTTTTTATGAATTTTTATATATATTTTTCATTATAACATAGTTTTATTTCATATTTTTGTTGCATAAAATCATATTGTAGTGCACATTTTATCATAAGATTAATTTAATTATCAAAATTTGTTTGTCGGTAATGCTATTATATGGTCAGGAACTCATGTGGACGATATTATTTGTATTGTTTATATTTTAGCATATTTTTTTTTCCAGTACAACCACTATTTCACCTTTTTTTTCCTTGAATACACCGTTGTTTTAGGCACTCAACTCAGCCCTGTTATTTTAATCTAATATTATAATTTTTTTTTAGATTTCATTACATCTTATTTTTGTTTTTTTTTTCCTTCACTAGAACATTGTTATATTTCATATTTTCCTTGTTTTGCTCCACAATTAAGCATATTACTTATTGTATGTGTTTATCATGTGCCCTAGCATCATATCAAGAGAATGACATAAGAAAAACAATCCAAAAGAGTCAAAGGGGACTTGCTTTTAGGTACATACCACCTACTTTTAGGGCTGCATGTGATGAATTTTCCTAGCACATTACTGAGGAGGTGACAATAATCTTTAAGAATCTCCATGTTGATCATTTTCTATGGGTGTCGCCTCTTTGGCGGGATGTACCTCTTTAATTAATATTCTAACATATTGAGTAATTTAGAAGCGTGTTTTATGTTTGGGCGGACAAGGGCTGATGTTCACCGCATATGAAGTAGCTCTTAAGATTGAGTTGTCTAAAATGAGTTGATGTTACGTGTAATAGGGAATCCATTTCTAAATTTAGTAATATATAATTGCAAAAAAGATATTAAGATGTATTATTTTATCCAGGTTATGATACTTCGAGAGAAATAAGTAAAGAAGGGTTAGCTCTGGTGTCTGACATTTCTCATATTTTTCATCCTTCGAGCATGATTTATTTTTCATCCCTTATTTCTTAGCCTCATTCCCCCAACATTTTACTTGATCAATGTTAAAATTACTTTTTGGAACAAATGTCAGTCGAAGATAGTGTCTAACTATTAAAATAAAGAACATGTCTTGCATCCACTGGCTCATGATCAAAATATCAAAGAAAATTTTTATTTGTTGAGAGATTTTTGATTGGTAGAATAACATTTGAAGAGATAAAATTTTTCTTTCATCAATGGAATTAACTATCTTGAGAAAAAATTGCTCGCATTGAAAAATTCTTAAGCAATAGATCGCCATCTCCCGAGCCCATTATAGTCAAAATTGATCAATCACTTATAGGTAATACAAATGCCGAGTCAAAATCTCAAAGTACGAAATTAAGCATACCATGTATCGGGACAAGACAATTTTGTTCAATCAACAACAATCAAGATGATCACACATAAACAAGTAACCTTTGTCGAGACAACATCTTGCCACCAATGCCAATCCATAATTTAGTTGGTGTTGTACACTCTAAATCTCTCTACAACTAATTTTGATGAGAAAATGTTATCAAGAAAAAGCCGCGATAAAATAAATGATGGCAACATAATGTGGAATATTATGAAATTACAATCTAGAAAGCGGGTAGTAATTACAACTTCATATGCACCGTTGCATGAAAAAAGAAACGCTAAATATAAAGCCGAGTGTGCAAAACAAATATATGTTGAGCAACGACCTGCCAAGGTATAAAATTTTAATTATATTAAATTAATTTGAATATTTAATGCTTCCAACTAAACACAAAGATGTATAAAGTTAGAGAATAAATTGATGTTGAGGAATAGTCTGATAAGGTATTCATTGCAGCATGTTCCTGCTTTCACAATGATCAAATTTCAGGCTAGAGAATCAATTCCAAAAGAAAGCCTGGAGTTAATAAATGGTTGTTATGCTCAATTCACTGGCAAGTGATGGAACTCTATCTTCTCTAAGTTCTTGATTTTTTTATTTGACTAAGTATAACATGTATCGTTACAGCGTATTATTCCATATTTGTTACATGACAAGTCTTTATAAACATGTTATGTAACACTACCTTGACTACTATGTTAATTTATAGCTCATATGGCTTTTGTTTTGTTTTTTTTAAATTACATATAATATCTTGGAATTAAATAAATTCACACTTTTTAAATTCAAAAATGATATATTTGCCACTTCTAATAATATTTTGATCAACTAGAGTCACACTGATGATCTAGTACATAATAATAGTTAACCGACGTTTATGTAGATGTATTTGTCCAATCATCAATTGAAAAGGATGTTCCTCGTACTAGGTTGTTTTTGTGTTTATATATATTTCAAGTATGTACTATGTAAATTTCAAGAATTTTAAACATTATTCTGTGATGATGTAATTTTGTTATTAAATAATCTAGAAACACCAAAATATTTTTATTTGTGGAATTATTCAACTAATAATTACACGGAAGAAAGTAATATGTATGTTGGTCATATGAGAAAAAATAATATGGTCGAATCAGAATTGATTGTCATCGCTATCATTAACAATTCATATTGAGGGTCTGTTTGGGGTAGCAGCAGCTTGTTGAATGATCTGCTGATAAGTTAGGTGCGGTTGCTATTACAAATTTTTAATTTTTTTTAGAAAAATCAGACCGCTGGAAGAAAGCTTCCGCCGCACCTAGATTGATTTTGCGGTGTGAAAACTCTACTTTCAGCGTTTTCAAAACGCATAAGCTACCAAAACGCAGTTCACCCAAACAGTTCATGTGCGTTTTCAAAACGCCACCGCACCAAATAAGCTGCCCCAAACGGACCCTGAATCTTATTGGTTGTGGATCTTAAGACGCACAAGTGACTGTTCTATGACTCATTGTATGATCTCTTGTCTTGTACATTAATAACTAACATAGCATGTCAATATTTTTAAATATTATATTGGAATTGATTGTATATGACACATCATCCATTCAATTTATTTATTGAATGACAGATCAATCTTGTCCATAAGCATGCAGTTGAAACATTTGATTCAAATATTGTTGATAGGCAAGTTAAAATAATTGATGGTGTTCCACGGCATGCATGCATGAAAATATACGAAGAATGTTCTTTCAACTTGATGAGGATTGTTTTGAAAGAATAATAGGATAGAATTTAAAAAAGAATATTTATCTTTAGAGCTAAGTTTACTTATGCTTTATTATACATGACAACAATATGACAACAATATGACAACAACTTGTTAGTAAAAGTGTTGCACCTCTTTTTCATTAGTTACATAAGAGACATGGCATAACTTCAAAGTGTAATTCATTGTTACATTTATATACTTAATATAAATTATTGTCCATTGTTATTGGACCATCTTGTTTATCTCATATTGTTCTAGCATATGTATTTGTCTGATTTCACTGTATTACTTTAGATTTTTTTTAAGCAAAAAAGTAAGAATGACCTTGTTGTCTGCTTGTATTCATGTTTTTGCTCGGTACAACATAAATTCATAAATTATTTTTTGATCATTCATGACTAATAAAAATTAAATTTTTATCTTATATAGCTATAGTTGATGTATTTGTTTGAATTTACTTTATTATTTTACATTTTTCTTTAAAAAATATAAAACACAACCATGGCGTACCCAAGAATTGCACACTACAATATGAATTTATATTTATTTATTTTCATCAATCATGACTTATAAAAACTAGATTTTATCTCATGTTAGTCTGGTCGACGTATTTGTATGAATTTACTTCATTATTTTATATTTTTGACTAAAAATTATTTAAAAAAAATCATATTATATGCAAGAATTTACTCAACACAACATGAATTTACAACATTTCCTTATCATTGGTGACTACTGAGGGCTAAATTTCAACTCATATCGTTGTAGTCGGTATATTTATTTGAATTTGCTTTTTTATTTTATATTTTTCTATAAAAATATAAGAAATAATAATGTTGAACACTAGAATTTACTCAATACAACATAAATTTACAAAATATTTTTCATCATTAAAAGCTAAATTTTAACTCATGTTATTGTGGTTGATGTATTTATATGAATTTATTTCATTATTTTATATTTTATTTTATAAATATAAAAAAAAAATCAGGTTATACTGAAAAAATGACTCGATATAATATGAATTTATAAAACAATTTTCATCATTCGTGACTACCAAAAGCTAAATTATATCTGATGTTGTCGTAGTCGATGTATTAATATAAATTTATTTTATTAATTTATATTTTTTTATTAAAAAATATCAAGAATAATCATGTCGTGCCCAAAAATTTACTCAGTACAACATATATTTATATATTCATAAGGTGAATCATGATATTTTGGGGCTTATGATCGAAAGGTAAAATCATAAGAAACTAAAAGAGATTGGGATTAAAGATTCATTTATGTGTTGTTTAGCTAAGTAATTAGATTAATGAACTATGGATAAGTTAACAATGAATTATAATGAAATTTTGTTACCCCCATTTAAAATTGTCGGAATAATAAATGGTTGAGAAAGTTATGATTTTTTAATAAACGTGTGGCTTTATATATATATATATATATTATGAAGTCAGCAGTTCAACCAACACATCGATCATTATGTGGAAAACCCTAAAAAAGTAAATGCCACGAGATCTTCATAGTTGAAATAATCAAATATGTAATTTTGAATATACAAGTCCACTATTTTTTATAGTTAGAGAATATAAAGTTACAAATATGATCATGATAATTGTATAATAATAATTCATCGATAATAGTCGCAGTCTAGTTGCAATATATATAGTTATCAGTAATGACATGCTGCAAGGGTTGTAGTCAATTGCTATGGAGACAACAACCTGTCTTAAATATTATAGATACTGGTAATGCGCCAGCATATTATATAGGTCATAATTGAAAGACATGGTAGCAATTAATTATGTGGACAATAGATGTTTGCCTCAAAAACGTCAATTGACCACATAAGACACAATATAAAGTTGTGAGCCATTTTGGTCGTAGTTAGTCGCACGAGTTGTAATGACGAGTTGCGATGACGTTTATAGGACGCATGATTTGGAGTCAGGAGCTACACAATTTATGAGTCACATATAACATAGTTGGTCACATATGTCGTGATGGTGAGTTGTGATGACATTTATAGGCCTTAAGAGCTAGAGTGGAGCTTCACGAGTCACAAACCATGTCGAGCGTTGGCGATCACATGTGCCATACTAATGAGGTGTGATGATGTTCGTGGGCTACACATATCAGAGTCGGGAGCTGCATGAAGCGTAAACCACATTGACTGTAATTGGTCATGGAGATCACTGTGGTGAGCTGCAATGAAGTTTATAGGTAGCGGAGGCTAGAGACAAAAGTTGTAAGAAGGAAGCTCTAAGAGTATGAAGAAAATCACTTTCTTTCGATATTTTGTATTTCATCATCTCATTTGGCATTTGGTACATAACTCGAGTTAATCAAGGCACAACTATTTATCATTTTTCCTCTTCACTATTTAGAATGTCAATCTTGATGGGTAGAGAGATTTTCTGCCTCATTTTTTATAGCAAAATGTTTTTTCTTTTTAAGGGCCGTAAGCCGACCAAACCTAGTCAGATGTTTAGTGGGGGCGAGCTTATTTATGAGTTTTGAAATAGTAACTGGTCCAAACTTGACCTGAGTCTATTTTAACAAGTCAAAGCTCAAGCCAAGCCCTCCCAACCCATAGGCCTAGTTACCACACATTTTCTCTATCCACACAGCTCACTCATTAGTCATCACACTCTTCATGCATGCAGCTTCCATGGATGCTCTTATTTTCGCTTCACTCCCTTCTTCCTCTTGCTTCCTTCACCCCCTTCTCTCCCCCAAATCTCCAAACCCTAAACCCTACTCTCCTCGTCTTAGCTACCAACCCCCCCTCCACACCCGATCAAAATCCCACCTTTCCCGCAAAATCCTAAATAAACTCCATGTCTCCACTTCCGACCACCCTTCCACCACCGTTCCGGTGGAAGATCCTTTATCTTCCGGCGATACCTTCGAAAAGTTCGATTGGCACTCCCATTGGTACCCATTGGCGCCGTTGTGCGACCTCGACAAGCGAGCCCCGCGAGCGATGCGGGTGCTAGGGTTAGACCTGGTGTTATGGTGGGACAGGACGGAGGTGCAATGGAGAGTGTTCGATGATCGATGTCCCCACCGCCTCGCTCCGCTCTCCGAAGGGCGGATCGATCGCTGGGGCCGCCTACAGTGTGTTTACCATGGCTGGTGCTTCAACGGCGCTGGTAGCTGCGAGCTCATCCCTCAGGCGGCGGAAGATGGTCCTCAGGTATGCCGTTTTTTTCCATCTTCTTAAAATTTTAAGGGTCGCCTTCTGTTTTTCAAATTGCCGAGGTTTGCGCGCATAAGGGTTTTTTGATGGCTTATTGCTTGTTAAAATGGAAAAATTATTCCATGCGGATCGGCGTCCGCA